AAAAAAAAAAAAGCACCCAGATGTTTCCAAAAAAAAAAAAAAAAAAAAAAAAAAAAAACTTATAAATATCAGGAAAGGAATTTTTGGTAATGTAATGAGAAGAATGAAACTGGAACATATTGCAACCACAGGTAACATCTATGGGGAAAAAAAAGAGGCAAAGAAAGACAAGGCGAAACGATTCTTCATAGCCCACTGTAAGGTCGTGAAGGTGTAAGCACACGAATTGATATATGATGCTGAGGGTCGCAGAATGTGGACACGAATGATCACCTACGCCAGTTGGAATGGCACTTGATAATGATGAAGGTGATGTTTATTAGAAGTGGCTACAGCGTTTGTAAATAAGACTGAGATGTTGTTGAAGATGTTTTCAGAACGTGATAATAGTTAGTTAGTTAGTTAGTTAGTTAGTTAGTTAGTTAGTTAGTTAGTTAGCTGGGTTATATCATTGCACTCCGGACATGTCGATAGGTGCTCAGATCCTCTCCTCAGTGGTAACCCCAGCGTCCGGTGGCTAATAGTACCAGTTATATGTTGATTAGCAAGTCCTGTGATGTACCAGCAATGCACACGAGCGTCCGATCTGACTACCCAGAGACCAATAGGAAATTAATAGAAGTCCCAGTCCACGTGAAAAAATTCCAGCCCTTTCCGGGGATTGAACCAGGAACCTCTAGCACTCGAGGAGGACAGCATGCCTCGAGACCACGAAGCCCCCTATAAACATATGCGGATCCTAGAATGTGCAGGACAAGTCGCAATACGCTACAATGGGAAACATCACTTGTACTTCCTAAGTGAATATTCCTGGAAGCGGATGTGAGTGGAGAGGGAGATAAAACGCCAGTCGGCATGAACCTTTCCCAACGAACGGGTGACAAACTCATTGTGGTCCGAGTTCACGCTTCGGGGGGTAGGCAGAAAAGTTACATTTTCTCCCAGATTTACGGTATCTATCATGGAAGCAAAGTCAAAGGGTTGCGATATCCATAGTACCAAGCTAAAGGGTTTACAACTCAAAGTTTCTAAATTTAAAAATAAAAATAATTTGGAATGTTGTTATCGTGTTTTCAGTTGTGCTTGTGGCGATCTTTTGAACTGAACAAGAAATGTCGGATGACCAGCTATATTCAGGATGTCGTGTACTTATGCAGTATTGCGTGTACAGAGCCAGTCTTCTATGGTCACTGGTCGCGTCAACAGTGAGCTGCAATTATGGTCTGTGAATGTTGGTGCTGGCACATCTGACGGCTGCAAATTTTATTTACTTTGCGTGTGCAACCTTGAAGATTATGTTGGGACCGACATGTTTTCACTAGTGTTCAGATTGGGACAATGAAGGCTAGTGTGTGTGATTTCCATTGGCAGAAGAAGATAGCAGCTGTGAGATAACTCTTGTGCAGCAATGATGGAACCTCGTCTAACCACTGACAGACATAATTCCCTAACGTGGAAATAACATATATGAACTATCCTGGAATGTTTGTTCCGGTGATAAACGACCAGGCTTAGGAATTAGGTTTTATCTTGTCCAACAAGTTTCCGCTCATAATCTTTACATGGTTCTGGTTGTTTACTTATACCTAGAAGATAATTTCATAGCTACTCGTTGCCATATCTATCGTCACTGCTCTTCCAAGCTTATCGCAATATCATGACACATCCTACAGTGTTAATTCGATTTTTATTTTTAAACTAGACTTTGGATGTTGCATTCAAGCAGCAGACCTTGTTGCACCAGTTTGTCAAACAGGCTCGACTGGATATGATCATGC